GCTCTCCCGCACGTCATATCTCTGGCTAAAGGCACTGGGGCTGTTTTTAGTATCGCCGCTGGTCACGTTTAAGTGTTCTGTTCTCACCGGTGGCAACATGGGAGAACCTCACCCGTCCAGAGGTGTTTCGTTCTCACTGATGGTCAGGCTGCAGGTTTACGGGGGGCTTGTGAGTCTCACAGCTGCTAATGTGGATGTATGATGATGTATGTGGTAGGTGAACATGTACGCATTGAATGGAATTGGACGCTTTGGGAGAACATGGGTCAACCACGAGCCAATTTTGATCGCATTCGCATGCATTCGCTGAATTCGTGTTAGTTCTGATTTCCTTCACGTAGTTCAGAAAGGTGAACGTGCATAACCTGCTTTCTTAGCTCGGCTCACTTGATAAGTTATGATCGCTACCTTGCTGTCATTGCTTTTGGAGACTTTGGGAGTTGCCGAGCAGACTGGGCATTAATTACTTTTCGTTGCTTTCTCAGTGACATTGATGGACTTTTTGCGCATCTTTTTATGAGTTGTGGTCAATCTGTTTGTTCGACGAATGTTGAAGTATATTAACAAAGTGTCATTAGCCACAATCCATGTATCTACTGCCATCAAAAAGGTGTTGCGATTTCACATTCATATAGATAATTCATGTCATTCAAGTCAAATCGTGTCTCACATATGATTCATATATTTATGCCTTCTCCAGCAACATTACTTACTCGTTTCTTTTTCCCTCCATATTGCCGACCATTTGGCAAAGCAACCGCTTCCCAGTTGTACTTCCAGCAGGCAGTCCATGCAGCTGCAGTGGATCGGGCCTTAGAAATCCCGTTGGCCGACATGGAGCTGGCCAAGTTGAGGCTTGCGTGGCCTGTTTGCTTGACAGGAACACATAATTTGTGTTGGTCGCCTAAATGAGTTGCAACAATGCCCTGCTAGATTGTGCAAGGATGACAGATTGTCATTTCGAGTCATTTTGAGTCATTTCGTTTTTGGACTTTGCCAACTTTGCTCTTTGTGTTTTTTCTAGGTCCGGTCCATAGCCATCAATCCTCAAGCGGCTGCAGCTGTAGGTAAAGAGGCGGTAGAAAATCAGCCGAATCGGAAGAATGAACGCTAGCATACGCTAGCTGTAGCTTTGAATGCTTTGAACTGGTCCCAAATGCAGGTCGCACCAGCGCTTTGCAGTGCCTTGGGACGCCAGAAGGACTTGTTTGATTCCTTTGTAATTGCACATTTGGCTTGTGTTGTGATGGTGATGTTGTGAGAGTACTTTGACAGTCTCTCAGACAATGATTTCCAGGATGAGACTTTGTTGTCCTGGGCTTTGCTGGCACTAATGCGCTTGGAGAAGGGCTGAGCAGTCCTGTTGGAGAACGTTTTTGTTCTCTGCGAACCACGAGATTCCGCTTCTTCTTGGGGCTTTATAAGGCTCAGCATCATGAAACCCATCCTACTTTGCGGAGAGCCGGAGCTGCGTGGCACTCGACTTGATTGGATCGTTCACGCCGAGTAGAAAAGCAAGTTCTCAAGTTGTCGCATTCCTCAAGAAAGTGACAAGTAAGTCACAGCGACAAGTAAGCAGCTTTTAGTTATCGCCTGCTTGTCGAGGTTGCTTCCTTGTCACTCTTTACTCGGCCAGGGCAGCGCAAGCCAGCGGAGATCTCGAAGCTGCATTTCTTGCTTTACATGACTTTACATATTAAAATAAAGCAATAAATGTTTACCAATTTCAGGCAGTGATGTTAAGATTTAAAAGCCGAGGGACCTCGCCTTGATTTGCTGGCATCCATTGGCTCGGAGCTTTACTTCTCTCTTTAGAGTACTGATGCTCCGTGAAATTGAACGATTATTCAAACAAAGGTCTGGCATTTCTCAGTGGAACAGCTGGGGCGATGAGACAAGAAGCTTGTGCTCTGGTGCCACTACGAGCAGTTCCTGAGTCTTTTGGCATTGAACGTGACAGGACATGCTCGCTTTCCTGCTTTGTTTGATGATGCTTGATGCTGACAACGCTGCCTGCTTTCGTTGGCTTGGCTTTGTGGCTCCTCACATGGAAGATTGCGTATTGTGGCATATTGTGGCTATTATATCATACAATAAATAAATTATATATATAACATGGATCTCACTGTACAGACTCTATGCAGAGCCCAAGCAAATCAGGCTTGTGCAGCTGTTGCAGCTGAGACTCTGTTCCACCGCAGAAGAGGACCGAACCACAGCTGCTCCTGCGCTTTTCGCAATAATCACTGAAGTGGAGGCCGTGGAGAAGAAGCTTTTTTGCGGAATGCCGGTGGACTACAGGCTTCCACAATGTTTTCAAGAAGTATGTTGCGAAATTCACCAGACTCAAACATATCAATGCTTGTGTTGTAGCAGATTGGAAAGCCTCAAGGCCTCGATTTGTCGCCCAATCGCTGACCATGCTGTGCGAGGACGGAAGCATGCACAGCATGCATAGGTCGTTGGAAGTTCTTACAAGATCCTGCAAGATCAGTTCTTGCATGATACTGTTAAAGTTCTTACTGATTAATGTTTTATGAGTGAAATCCGAGAGGCCGAACGACAAAGTTTGAAGAAATCACCTCGTGCTGCCAAGGCTTCAGCTGCACATGCTTCTGTTGGGTGGCATTCTGCTTTGCCAGCGTTGCTTGCCCAAGTGCTTCGAGGCAAAGTCTATCAAGCATGTCAATTCATATATATATATAATTACTGTATGTTCATGATTGTTTTATCATTGAAGGACAAATTCTGAAAATAGAGCTCCTTAAACCTCAGCTACCTTCCTTGGACTTTAGTACTCGCATGTACCCACCACTATTTATATAGTAACGATAACGCATATTAAACGGGGCAGAACGACCTTGGATTCAGCAAAAAGTATCCTGTAGAGGCGAGCTGCCCAATGATGCTGCGACTAACTTGCCCTTTGGAAGCCCGGATGTCATTGAGATGTCCAGCAGGTGGGCCAAGTACTCAAAGCTTTCAGACTCATCAGACCTACCTTATTTGGGTCAAAGCTTTGGACATCATCTTTTGATATCTTTTGTATGTCAGCAAAATTAAGAGCAAATGGATCATCAATGATCATCCATGATCATCCTCTCTGAAACCTTGGAGTTTTCAGGTGCCGTGCTGCCTTGCTCTCTCATGCCAAGAAGCGCAACATTGCCCCGGCAGAGGCGAATGAAGAAGTCCTCATCAAGACATGAGAATCATCCATATTGGGCAATGATTTGTTGACTGTTGATTCATATTTTGTCTTCTTGATGTGCTAGGACCTAGGATTCAAATTTCAGGAATCCAGGAGAAGGGCTCAACCGAAGCCCTCGAATTTGCTTGGTGAATTATTGCATTTCCTGCGGTGTGGGAATTGATCCAGGCTTTGGCAGCTTTGAAACGGGCACCTGTCTCTCCAAAAGGAACTTGGGCCGGAGCACACAGAGGGTTTCGAGCTTTTGTTGCTGTATGATAATCTAACTTTCACTTTTGGCGCCTGCTCAAGTTCCCTTGTCAAGAGTGTTTTGTATGCTGATGAACTCTGATGAGCTGGCTCCTCACTTGGGACCCTCACTTGTCCGTTTTGGTGTTCAATCATTATGATGCAACTAGCACAGCAACAGTGGCAAGTGTTCCCCCCTCTTTTGCTACCGCTCGGATTACCAACTTTTTGCCATACTTCTTTCAAATGAATCGCATCAGTGTTCTGCAAGAACTTGTCGCGAGTCTGGTGGTGATAGGGTCCTTTGACTATCACTATCAAGGGCATTGCTTTCGTGACTCTTCCGACAACTTGATAACACGCCATTCACGGTGACTTGATGTTGATCCTCGATCGGCTGCCCGTATATGTTTGACTTGTCACCGTGATGCTCATCAGACAAAATTCAACTCTGCAAACCCGCGCTAGATCCTTTTTCAGAAATGATTTCGAAGGACTTTCTGATGAGTTGCCAACCTGGCAGGAAATGGAGAGGAAAGGAGCATGCATGAGTATGCATATTGCTGACTGAGCCTATTTGAACCTGACAGAGGTCAGCAGTTTCAGGAATCAAAAACAGCCATTGACTGTGATCATGGAAACCATGTCGTTATTGCGCTCTCCAGCCGACTGTTGCTTGCAAGAGCTCCAATTTCCGGCGCATCTTCCAAAATGCATCAAAGTAGTAGGCTTGTCCAACGGCTCCTCAATACTGAGAAGAAACCTCGGGCAAAGAAGCCCAAGGGCAGAAGACGAAACAAGTCAAGGCCACAAAAGCCGTGGGAAGCAGTGCATCTACACCTTGGAGATTTCAGTTGGACAAGCTCTCAAAGTATCTCCAACCGAGCCATGAGAAGATGAGCTCAAGAACTCATGGAGTGCCACCAAGTCCCAGTATTATAGATTCGTCAGGGCTTGCGCAGCAGTCTGGCTTGCTTGAGCCACTCACAAGTTGACTGTGGACTTGATTGCCGCAAGTAGATTGCAAGCCATACCAGCCAGAGGCAGTCAGACCAAACACAACATTGAAACCGGAATTGCTACAATTTGATCCATCTTAAATTCTGTGCCTTACTTTCATTCAGGTCGCTCTCCACTGATGCTGCCCCAACCATGATTCGATTGTCGCAGTGTGGCCCCAACATTCTTCTGTTTCTGATCTGTGCCTCTCAAGTGGCGCATACTGAAGTGCACTATTGCTACCGCCGGTTGCTCCTAGCCCACCACGATTTGTTTGCAAGAGCAGGACTATGGGCCACAGTTAAGAATGCATTAGAGTAGGATATTCTCGGTCATAGCACGTTTAACAACATCTTTGTGACAACGGACAGCGAGTTTGAGGCAGAGCGTGGAGAAGTGACAAGGGCCTCTAGAACTCAGAAGAGCCGGCTTTGAGAGAGTCAGCATGAAAATGAGACCCTTTTCTCTCGCTTTCGCTCTTGCATGACCATTGTTGACTAGCTGCGATCGAGTTAATTTAATATCACGGAATGTTCACTTTGATGGAACTTGTGTGAAGCAGGCGTACGGCATTGATATGCAGGTGCCGGCTTCAGCACGCACAAATTGAAAGCCTACTTGAATGACATCGTTCATTGCTGAATAGCATGATATATGATGTTCGATACATTTTTATCATGTAGGCTTTGGCAGCCGAACTACAAAAAGCTTTGGCGTCAGCTGCCACGGTTGAACAGGCACTCTGAGCACAACTGCAACGAGAGAACATTTTCGAACAATTGCGAGGCTTCTCCTACACAGGTGGCTGCAGTGATGGTTCAAGGTGACACATGTCGTTGAGCTTTGTTGGTACAGAGATTTTTTAGCTTGGCCTTATTTCTTCAGGCTTTTGGGATGTAGCTGTGGCGGAATGGCTTGGCAAGGCCGGCTGACCAAGAAGAGGTCATTCATTCATTGCACGGTCGTAAATTGATGCTAGTTTGCGAGTCAAAATTGTACAAGTCAAAGGAAGCCTTGGAGTTCTCCGGGTCTGCGGGATGAATTTCGGCAGTTCGAAACAAGGAAACAGCATGTTTTGAGCTAACGTACAATGACACTCAAAGGTTTTGCGATGGCTCGGTTGCTTTGACAAGCAGGTTGTGCCATATGAGAAACAGCTTCGACTCGTTTGACTTGCCTCATCACCTTTCCACAGTTGAGCGGTTCAGCCAGTGCTAATGAGAAAGCCTTGCTACTAGTAGCGTCCTCTTGCTCCTAGTAGTGAGGCCAGGAGCCCCTAGTAGCGTTCTTGCTCCTAGTAGCGATGCCCTTTGTTCCTAGTAGCGTTCTTGTTCCTGATAATTCTTCTTGTTTCAAGTTGGTTTCAAGTTGTTCCTTCCAAATCTGTGCGGACAGAAACACACTGTTGTGTCCTCATGAGTAATTACTGTGGTGGCTCGGAAGCAGTGTCAGCCATTGAAGTCATTCACCATACAACAATTGTATTACATTTTATATACAGTAGTCTTGTATCATACTGCGCTTTTCCAAAGTCTCTTACAGTCAACCTTTGTCATGCCTTTCTTCTCAGTGGCATCTCTCCCGCTACCTTTGGTCATATGACATCCATTGTGCGACAACATCCGTACTATGACATCAACTCCACCCCATGTACCGCATTAGATACTGTTCAATGCATCTAGCAATCATCCTTCATTGGTTTTCACAGTTCAATGGCTGCAATTCGTGTTTCATATTCAGCGGCATTCCGTGTCATGGTGTCCACGGATTCATTCACACGATTTGAGTGAGGAGTATGGAGGTTGTTTTTGGAAGGGAATCCAATAAGGTGCGATGATAAGGCTGAAATAAGTACCGTAAGGGATTAAGTACGGCATATAGAGGATTCTTCTCGCCCTTTTGATTACTTCCAACTGAAACATCAAAGATATATTCAGTAGTCCATACTAGATAGTTTGCTGATGTTTTTTGCATGACCATGGTTGCTGGGCTTTGCTTTTCAGTAACCAATTTGTTGTGTTTGTGAGTTTCATATGTTTGAACTGTATTTTCCCACAGGGTCAAGCCTTCCATTGTTTATATTAAAGGTCATTTAGGTCTTGTAATGTCCAACATACTCTGGTTGCCAGAGACAAGGTTCTTAAGCATCAAAGGGGTTTCTCACAGCTGCACTTTGAACCTGTTTGCATTTGTTCACCTTTGCCAACAGGTGCGAGGTTCCAATGCAATGCACTGCTCATCAACCCTCACGAAGCCGCAAGCGGTACAAAGTACCACAACGTGTGTAGGTAATGCATTATGTGTTTTTTTGACCTGCATCATCCACGTCGCAGCAGCACAACATGTCACGGAACAGATAGGGCCAGTTATTGTCAACATGTCTCCAACTCTTCAACTAATCTACTCGAGCTGAGCCAGCCAATCCGAATTGGACAGGCCGGCGTGCCAGCAGAAAGCATTCTTCAGCAGGTGCGGTAGCACACATAATGTATCGTGCTTGCAGTGTTTGTCGTGTGTTGCTTGGTAAGCCCACTCAAGCCTCATGATCGGCATTCGCTTCTCGCACGTGTTTGTCCAACGACCGGGATCTGGAGCTAGTGACTCCAACCAAATGGCTTCACTGAGCGCACGCCTTGCCTTTGAACTGGCTCGACAGTCCTCCCTGCTGTCCAGATGTGTAATTCATGGCTTGTGCTGGACAGATCCTCGTTCATCCACGTATGCATCCTGTCTGGTGACGCTACTTGAGGCGAAAAAGGGTCAGCAACAGAAGAAAGCCAAGCAAGCAAGCAACATTGTGAAGGCGTGAGGCACAAAAGAGCCGCTTCACATGTTGTTCTCGCGGCTGTGCCTCCAAAAGCTTGGCCCAGAAGTGAGTGGAGATCTCAACGTGTCTTGAATAGCAGGTAGTATGATCCGAACGTTCCTTGCGTATACTTCTTGACATCCGTGGAATCTCTAATCTTGGCTCAAGATTCACGTTCCACAGGAGTGGTTGTTTCCTGAGAAGCTGGATGAAATGGTGGCTCAAGCATGCTCAAGTGTTCGTGTGTCAAGAGCTTAGGTGTTGGAACATTTGGAACAATAAACTAGAAAGACGAAAGCCCCTTTGCCAAGTGTGCCGTGCGTAGAACATGCGCGCCGGACCCAAATCTGGTTCAATGATCAACAGGGGCAGGCGACTTAAGAAGATGAACCAGCATGACACCCTCTTGAAGCATCTTCTAGCAACAAATTTGTCATCCGACAGCCATGAGGCCGGCTGGTCATCTTTGTGGCCGTGGCCACACTCCTTCAGCTTCATCAGATAGCCTTCCTCAAGCCAGCGAGGCCACTGCTGGCATTTCTTGCGATTAGCTGCGATAGCTGCCAATGGAAAGCTGGAACCAAGGCTTTCGAGCGTGAGGAGACCACAGGCAGTGGGGGTTGACAAATTGAGACAAGCGTAAGTCGGAAATTGCAGGTTACTATGGGAGCAAGAACTCCGGGCAATCAACCAACGGATGAGCCAGGCTCGATAGCCGTCATTAGCCCTTGATGTGACCTGCTTCACGATTTGATGGACGGGGCATTTGATGTTGTCAGACTACCCGGAGTTCAAGCCGACTGGCGACTATTTGTTCGAAACCCCTTTCTTCAAGATGGAAAAGTTCAAGCAGGACTGAAGTACAGTATACTGAAGTCATACAAGAACTGGTCTTTGCTGCTCCATAATTACTTTGTATCGCACTGACTTGCAATTTTCAGCAACCAGGCCTGCCTCTCGACTCCGCAGAATAGGTCAAGGGTCAATGTAGTCAATCAGCAACAGCATGAGATGTCTCATTCTCATGATAATTCATGATATATAATGTGTAAACAGTAAACTTAAACATATCAATTAAGTAACTCCCGCTATGAGCTTGGTTCAACTTTTTTCGCTATATAACTGCCCTGGAAAAACCTTATTTTAACGTTCTTTGGGGCCAAATTTGGGCAAAAGGGGATTCAAGTTGGTCTGCAAACCGCCCGTAGTGTTTGCGAACCTCAACAAGCAACCGAGTGAGTGAAGAATCGACACAACCTTCCGCTCAATGTAATTGTCGGGGTGAATTTCACGTAGAAATTCATTCAAGGACGTCCACATCAGGGTTGCTCAGTTGCTGAGCTGTCCGGCAATCCACGCAGCGTGTGGAAATTATTTTGTCGGAGATCAAACGTTCTAGCAATATTTGGCCATGTTGACAAAGCAAGCTTTGGCATGAACCTTTGGTATAGCCTCAACCCGGCAATTGCCGGCCATGAGATGAGGAGCCTGGTGATGCTGCCTCCAATCAGCATGGGAGTATGAGCCCAAAGTCAGTCCACGCAGGCAGGTTGAGCTTGGCTGGAGCACGAGCTCACCACGCCTCCGCCACGTTGGACGCAAGAACGCAAGATTGTGGACCGTGCCCAGTAAGGGACTTGTGTGGAGGACAACAGGTGCATGGGGAGGGTGCTGGCAAAGGATTGGCAGGATGGAATTAGCACAGTTAGCGATAGAGTTTGGAATTGACAATTTAGGTTGCCCTTTACAAGGACTGCGCAGCAACGTATGCCAGGCGTTTTGATCACTAGAGTCGCAGTGGCTTGACCATGCAAACCGGCAGTTGAGGGCTTCGTAGACAAACGTGGTGAATGCCCCCTTCGACCAAAAGAACAGAGATCCACACACTGACAATGAAGAACCCCAAAAGAAAGAAGACAAGGCCCACTTTAAGCTGCCAGAAGTTCAACGCGCGGCCAGCAATCCCCTGGGATGAACCGCGAGGTTTTAAAGTTATTAGAAGGTATGGATCAACTTACAAGTCTTGTAGCCTTGTAAGTGTTTGTAGGGTTTAATTACACAATCTAGTTTTAAGTACTTACTGTACCAACTATAAGGACGACAAATGGCCTGGGAGCGTTGAAAAACATACTCAAAAGGCCATACAAGTATTTGGGTGCACATCATAGCAATGTATGTCAAGAACACCTTTTCGGGACTTGCCGTGGAGGTGGAGAGAGCACACATGCTTTTCGTTTCACAATGGCATGGAGCCACGCAAACACACTTCCCATCGACACAACGACATCACAGACGTAATTTGGCCGCACGGCGTGCCACAGACTAGATACAACAATGTAACACCAAGCCTCGTGGACACCGCCAAATCATCCCGCTCCCCAGCGACGCACCGCGTGTACGCACGCATGTTTTTTCGTTTCCCGATGGCACAGAGCCACGCAAACACACTCTTGCACGCAAAGCCGCATGGCACAGCGACATCACAGGCGTAACTTCGCCACGCTACAAACTTGCCAGTTCCAATGCCACAGCTCCCAGAAGCTGCTTCCCGCACTACATGTGCACTACAAAGTTGCCAGTTCAACTGCCACAGCTCCCAGAAACCGCTGCTGCACTACATTTGCGCAATGCAGTTCTCATTTTCGACGACTGCGCGTTTCGACTACAGTTTTCGACGACAGTTGCACTCGTTTTCGATGGCGCGCCCACCTCCGTTTTACAACGACACAGTTACACTTCGGCCTCCTTTTCGACGACAACTTTCACCTCCGTTTCAATGACAGTTGCACACTTGGCAACTTCCACCTTCGTTCTCGACGACAGACGGCAGTTACTTACTTTGGCAACATCTTCCTTCGTTCTCGACGGTGTTACACACTTTGGCAATTAATTTCCACCTGCGTGTTCGACGACAATTACACACTTTGAAACAGCCTCCTTTGTTTTCGACGACAGTTGCACACTTTGGCAGCTTCAATCTGCATTAAATTTACGCTTTAAGGGAAACTGTTGTTTTTTTTACTGATTTATTTATATAGTTATTCAACCGATAATTTTTGGTGCTATGCCTGCCACTATTGCTGTCAGTCAGTGCCTTGGACGCTTTGCCCGCGGCACTTACTGTCAGTGCCCTGGATGCTTTGCCTGCCACGAATAGTGTCAGGGCACTGGATGCTTTAGCGTCAGTGCCCCGGATGCTTTAGCACTTAACGTTTACGCACTGGATACTATGCAAGGCCCTAGCCCTAAAGTCTTGAGAATATGGGTCATTCACTGTTCAAGGTGGGTGGGGCTCCGCTAGCCTTTGAAAGGCGGCATCATCATCATCATCATCATCATCAGACACTGGGTCTGATGGCAGCTCCACTGGACTGAGCCATGATCACAAAAAGATCAATCTGAACCCAAATGTCTGACAGTCGAGAAGCATTGCATTCGGAAAAAATATGCTAGTTAAACCAGTCCTTGCGGAAAAGATGAAACGACTTGAGCTTCTTTTCCGAGGCCCAAACTGCACGGCCCACGGGCTAAAATGGTCCCAGGAAAGCTGGCCAAAAAGGCCCAATTTGAAAGCCATCGCGCCCTTTTTCTGACCCTCGCCATAGGCCTTCAGCATAGTCCTTAGTTGACCAAAATACACACAGGGCGCCCGTGGTGCCTTTCGTTGGATCGTTTGATCGTTCCAAAATGGAACCCGAACTGAATCAAGCTGACAGGTTTTACACAGTTGTCTCTCCAACCTTTGCTGCCGCCATTGCTGAAAAAAGCCTTCCGGAGTTTGCGGCAAGACGGATTCTGTCATACAGAGTTAGCATGATTGAACGGCTCTTTGCCAAAGACCATGGTTGGCGGTGGGAGGAAGCCAACATGGGGACTGTGGTTTGTGTGGCTATACTGCTAGGACCATGGTTGGCGAGGGTCAGTGGGAGGGAACCAATCATTGCATTAGTCCTGCGGCTTGCTCTGCATTCTTGCAGGCTCTCAAGGACCTTAGTTGGCATGGGTCAGTGGTGGGGACGTCAACTATAATAAGAAACTAGCAGAAATTCAGCATAAGAAACTAACAAACCCAGATGTTTGGCGTAAACCTGCGAGTGTTTTGGAAGCTACTTCGGTACAGCACTCGACTAAAAATGCGCGTGCAAAACGTCAGACGAAAATCCGAAAAAATCAGTAAAACAAAAAGTGTCTTCCTTCACACTTTGGCAACTCAGCACGCACAATCTCCGCAGATGGTTCACTCATGTAACCAAGAATTCGCGTTCACGTTTGAGCATCGGCGCGCGATCTCCACAGAGGGTTCATCCGGCACACCCGGAACTCGCATTTCACCGCAAGTTTAAGCGTCCGACACGCACGATCTCCGCAAAGGGACAACGTGATAAAATATGAATACACAACATACGGTTTGAAAACAAAGGTCTTTTTGCGTGAGCAGGTATGAAATGTTTCAAACAACTCCCCTTTATCATTGATGCTCTCATCCTTGCAGGAGGAAGTGCTCGGACTGGCCGCGTTATTTGGAACATGTTTCCTTCTAGCATTCGTGTTCGGTGAAATTGCGACCAATGTGAGGCCAGCGGCCAGCTTAATTTGAGTCACTGAGTCATTCGAGTCGTTTTTGCCGAAGATTTTCTGGGGGCGTTTTTGTTGCGAAGGAGCGCCGTGGACACTAGTGGAGCAGTGATAAATGAACCAGAAGTGAGGACGCCAAATATTTCAATCCGACAAGGTGTGAACAGCCTTGGCAAACCGATCCGCGTGATCACAAGTTGAGAGAATTGGACCTGCAGACAGGATGCTTTAGAGAGCAGGTTTTCCCAGTTTTCGTCTCCGGTTCAAAAACCGAAGCAAACCTTGGGAACCAAACAATTTGCAGTGAAACAAGTTCAAGTCCGCTATCCTACACAGATGCGTGCTGGCAAGCGCACGACTGTGGCAAATGTGTTCAACTGACTCAGACTTGATGATTTAGATTCTTGCGTCAAGTGCAGTTTCAATCCAATTTCACTCTGTCATGCTTCGAACAACTCATGCAAGCAACATTTCCTAGCAAATTTCTATAGTAGTTCAACATTGCAGTTCTTTCAACTAATATACTTCATTACGTACTGAACAGTCGGAGCGTAAAAATGCAGTCAGCCCACCAATTGTCGCAGTGGCATCACGTATACTGAGCGAAAACATCATTTTCACCTATTCGTCCTTGCAGTCGCTGAGCTGCGACGCGACAACCGCCATGGACGAAAAACAGGATGGACGCTACCAGCGACTGCGACGTCGCCACGTTTACCTGCATCGCTTGGCTGGTGATGACGTTTTCGCTACTAAGATCGAGAGTCAGCCCAAGGCACCTTTCATCATGGACTCTTGGCTACATTTATTCCAAATGCAGGAACATATGGAAAGCATGTATTGTTAAATTGTTGCTAGATGACTTGTGCACTTCCACACAAGCTGAGACAAGCCAAACAAATTGTATAGTGCCTGAGTTCAGCATTTTAGCTTGTGGCAGCACATACCAAGGTGATCCGATTTGCGATATATGCTTTCATAGCAACTTTTGTGATCAAGGCACGCAGTCAAGTCGAAGATTTGTCAATAGCCAATGATGGAACAAAGTCTGCTCTAACTGAGCAGTACTTTGAGCACGAACCAAAGCCGCGGAAGTTCGAAGACATCAAAGACGCGAAAGACGTCCGCACTTGGCTTCAGTGGCTTTTCAATTCATTGCAAGCTGCTGGCAGCACAGATGAGTACAGCAATCAGCTGTCACTGAACTTGCACAACAGGGTCACCCCCACAGAAGGTGTATGCATCAATTCTTCTTCCATCACATTGACCTTCAGGCGAGTCAAACTCAGCAGTGACACGGAGTCTTCGACTACAAGCCGTTTCTCTCCGTTGTACCCTCAAACCTGGACTGCTTTCACGATCGAGCCTGGAGAAGCCAGTTCTGATGAAGCAACCTCTCCCATTGTTGATGGGAATTTCAATTGGCTCCACAGCCCTGCATGTAAAAGTTGCCCAAACGCCGGTTTCTCTCCAGAATGCAGCTGAAAGCGTTCTATTTTTTTGCGCCAACGATGTTGTGCTATGAACCCACTATCAGATACTATCATGTTGTCTTTTGCTTGTGAGCGCAGAGCTCCCTCATATTTACATGCCAAAACGAGGGTTTGATGCGGGCCGTGAATTGTAGAACTCTGGATTGGTAAAACATGTTTGAAGAATGCAACCTTGGATGCTGGGGTTATCTTGTGGATTCATGCAGCGGTACACCTGGAGATATTCCATCATCCTCTTGATTCCTTTTCGTCAACCTACCTGTGAGTTTGCAGAATGCTCCCTGCTGTGTTTGTTTGTTTGTTTGTTTGTTTGTCTCTCTCTCTCTCTCCCTCCCTCCCTCCCTCTCCCTCTCTCTCTAACTGGGTCTTCCTTTGCCTCTGTGTTTGAGCCGCATTCCGCACTTTTCTCAAAGAGAACATCCATCCCTTTTCCAGTTGCTTGTATCGGAAGCTATGCAGCAAACCCAAAGCGCTCAGGGTTGAGCTCAGGAAACAAAATTCAAATTTAAGTTAAGTTACATGGCGGTCTAGCGGGAATTGGGACACCACACTTGTTTGGTTTTGTAAAACCACGCCTGCGTTGTAGCAACCAAAATAAGAGCAGCGAATCCAAAATTGGGTCGCAGACGGTCAGGCGAAACTGAAACTCCAAAGTCCCGCGCTGTACATTAGCGTAAGGACATCTTTACAAACAAACTGCCAAGCAGGATCAAAAGGAAATAGTAAAACAACACAACCGTCTCAAAGATTCAAGGATCAATTTTCAGAACTTTCCACGGCTTGTTTTTCTTTTCCCAAGATGTTTGTGCGCTTAGACTATCCCAGATCAATGGTAAGTTGTTTGTGACATAAAGGGAAGGCCAAAAGGCAATACTTTCTTAAATACCTTTTTCTACAGTGGCGCTTTGAGCTGTAGCAAGGCTTTCTTCATTTGGTGAACAAGTTCGGAGCAAGGAGTGCCGACGCAAAATGGATTCCCCGCGTTGCACTTTTTCCTCGCGGGCGTTTGTTTGACATTGTCAAACATTATATGACCTTCCCCTCCGCTTGAAAGGATAAGAATCGCTTGTTGCTCTCGTGAGATCTGGTTGTAAAAAGTATGTTCTTCGCATTTCCCATGACATGCAGTTTGCCATTAGGTTCCTTTGAATGGTCTGTGACTTTGCTTGCAGGCCTTTTTTGATTGGTTGCCAATCTGTTGTGTTTCCACAAGCGCCCGAAGCCACGCAACTTGTTGTTTCTTGCCACTTTGCTTTGTCCTTTGCTTGTCCCAATTGCCGCTGGGGGTTATGTTTGTGCTGACGAGCAGAATTGCAAGGTTTGGATGAAACGCATTGACACACAGCATTTGCAGTGTAACATGGCATCATTTCAGGTTACAAGCAAATGGGTGGATATGTTGCAGTGGCGACGACTTCGAAAGATGGCACTGTGGTCCACTTGGTGGATAGTTCAGGTGTCTCTGATGTGATGCCAGATCCAACACTAAATCACTGCGATGGTAACTTGACGAGATCGGGAACGGTTGCATTGGAAGAGTTTCTTAGAGAACCCTTCTTCGATTCACAGCTTGGGAGCCTCACTGCTGAGTTTCAGACGTACAATGCAAACTTTCAAAGCTTGACAAAGGTCACGGTCTTGTTTCAATTCAGCGCAGCGGGGAATCTTTTTTCCCATCGTGTGGAGACACAGACTTTGCAACTGGACATCTCTCACAGTTGGATTCAATATTTCGAGTATACATATTTGGTCCTCACTTGCTTTTACTTCTTTGACTTGGTGTACAGAATCGGAAAGGGTTTTCCAACCTACTTGCGGAACTTCTGGTGCTATGTCAATGCTTGCTCCATCGTTGGAAGCATCAGCTGCTTCGGCATTTGGTACTTCTACATGCCAACTCTTGACACGTTTCGCCGCACAAGACTCTTTCAGGACTACACCAACTTTGACAACAGAAGTGACACTTTTGGCTTCTACATTCTCACATCTTCTTTTGCCGTCTTCACCATCTACTTGCGCATGTTGCAGTTCTTGGGCCACACTAGGTCCAGGGTCGTGCTTCTACTTAGAACCATCACGTTCAGCGCAGGCAACATGATTATTTACATTCTCTACATCGGCGTGATTTTCATTGGCTTCTCCACTTTCGCACTCACAAGCTTTTCCAGTGTATCGGCAAATTTTATCAACCCATGGGTCACCTTCGTGAGCACATTTTCTCTATTCATGGGTGACCTGCGCGTAATGAGTGGCTTCAACACAACCTTCAAAGTTCCCTTCATGTGGCTGTTCATGTTCTTCTTCTTCTTCCTCTCCGTGCAGATGTTCAACGCAATCATCAACTATGCCTACAATAGGGTCTCTGAGGATATGAAATCAGTATTTCAGCGCGAGCAACTGGAGAAGCAACTTACGAAGACGAAAGGAGAACGCTCCTTTTGGCCATTTCAAAGGAAGCCAAAAGCTGAAGAAGAGGATGGGCTAACTTATGGTGGTGCAATGAAGGGGCCAGATTTGACCACACTTGATCCTGCAGTGAGAGAAAAGGTTGAGGAGTACAGAGAGCGGGACACCAAGAAGAGTGCCAAGGACGGCCTTTGCACAGCCATGGTCTACTTCGTCATGGTTGGCTGCTACATCGGCTTTCTCTACGTGAACATGCTCGTTGAGGAGAAAAACCAGCTGAGGCTTGCGGTGGAGAGCATTGTGAGGCAGACAGAAGTCCCAATGCTACTTCCATACAGCAATAGGACAATGCTTCAAACTTGGGACGATATTTCCACATGGTCACAGGTAGCTTCGTGGATGCAGGTTGGTTTACCAGCCGTCGTCTTCAATTCCACTGCACAAGCCTTCATGGAAACTGCTACAAGTGGTTCTCAGCAGTTGATCGGTGCAGGCATGAGATGCCTACGCAGCTGGAATTGTCTCATCACAGGAACAGGAAATGGCGGCAATTCAACAAGAATTGCACGTATCACTCAGAAAAGGAGCAAACGCCTTCCAAATCAAGGCAGCCGTAGTGAGGCAACGCCTCAGGATGAGCGCTTCATTGGGGGATTTGCCGAGACAGGCGATGAGGTTCAAGGCCTTCTAGTCAATGAATCTGGTTTCTTCCAGATCATCTTTCCAGATGTGGCCCAGAATGAAGCTGAGGATGCTGCCCTTCAATTTCAACTTGTGTTCGAAAACCAGCCCTTGTGCCAGACTGTGGCAGCAGCAGCAGGAGGGAGCTATCGAAAAAGTGGTGGAATAGTGTGTGAGCTTAGTTCCAATATAGCTACTTTTGAGAGACAACTAGAGACCATGCTGGCAAGCAGCTTTTTTGTAAAAGAGTCTGCATCCTTTGTGATCGAGCTGGTGGCGCACAATTCAAACAGAGATATGCTCAGCTACATTGTTTTGACTTTCTATCAGACTCCAGCAGGCAAAGTGCACAAGGATATTCGTGTTTTCTCGCTGGCCCTTTTTGGTTGGGATGTGGGAGTCGACAAGTTGGGATACTTCATCGGGCGTCTTTTGCCGGGTGCGATCTACATGACGCTCGTCGTCGCCTTCACAATCATGCTTTACCAGGAGATGCAAACCGAGCATACCCGGCGCTCTGTTGCAGAAAGTGCTGAGAAAAGCGGCCTCTTCACGACAATCTTTACCTTCTTTGCCAGTGATGTCTTCCGGCCTGTCGATGCAATTTCGTATTTGATGTCTTTCTGGAGCTTTGTTCTGTTCGTTCTGTGGCTGGTGAAGGAAGGGGATCTTCAGCAGAAACTTCAAGGAAACTATGGGGAAATTGTCGACTTCGCATCAGAGCTGATTGCCCAAGAGAAAGAGTACAATCGAATCTCAGCAGCTAATCTTTTGCTCTTGTTTGTCCGGCCACTGCGCTTTATTCGTGAAGACCCTCGTATGCAACGGCTCAACCAAACTCTGCAAGATGCCAAGACAGACATATTTTGGTTTATCGTTGTTCTTTGTATTGTGCTGTTCGCGTGCACTTTGCTGGCCAATGTGTCCTTCGGACCGTTCTTTCCCGGATGCATAGACATTTCCGCTTCCTTCCTGTTCTGCTTCTCATTCATTCTTGGAGAGTTTGACTTTTGGAGTCTCTACCGAGCGAACCCAGTCATGGCAGTGATCTTCTTTTTCCCTTATCTTATTCTCGTCTACTGTGTGTTTACGAACATCTTCTTTGCCATCCTGGACAGGTTTTTTGTGTCGGCTGATCCTCCTCCGATGAAGCTAAAGCGGAAGCTCAAGCCATTACTATCAAAGATTTGTCGCTGCATTGATTGGGATGATGATTTTGTCATGGAGGAGGACCCCAAAGGTGCCAAGAAAGAAGGTCCACAATCTAGAGCAGATCGGGTGGCAGTGACAGCAAAAATCATCCATGACATCAGGAAGGGACTTGACGGCGACAGTGGCAGCCGTCTTGCTCAAAGCAAACCCCTTACCGAAGTGTGCGACGTGGATGAGAAGCTTTCAAATGTAGTGAAGTGGAGCAAGGAGGAAGCCGCGTCCATCGTAAGTGAGTTTCAAAACTTGCTCGTCAAGAAGCAGAGGCACAAGAATGAAGATGTGTTTCTGAAGCAGGTTGTTATGAAGAAGGTTGACGCAGATGAGACAAAGACAAGAGAGGAAATGGAAGAAGCTCACAGGCAGATGAGATATGCAGCTGAAGTGCACGAGGTCATGGCAGTCCGAGATCAACAGACTCTTGCAAAGTACATTTGGCTGCTCGAGCAAAAGATTCAGAAGAAAATGACGGACAAACATGCTCTGATGATGGAGGCGCGGACAGACTTTGGTTTGAACGTAGGAAACATAAGTAGGTGCCAGACTGGCTTTCAGTGTAGGAAAACTGTTTGACAACTCGTTCATCATGCCTGAATTGATCAAAAACAACATGCACGGACCAGGAAGTCAAGCCTTGTAGCCAAACCTCAAAGTAAAGTAAAACTTTGCTCATTTCCTTAGTCGGTGAGCCTGCAGCTGCAGAACATGCCTTTCTAGCAGAAAAAACAAGGGTACAAAGCACATATAACAAGAAGCAATCTGGCTGTTTTAAACAAACAAACCATTTTTGATACCAACTAGCTTTCATTTTGATTTTGCAGGTAAGTTAAAGTCGGCCATTTTGAGATCGCTGCATCGCAGGTCCAACACTTGCAAGATGAGATGGACAAAATGCGCTTCACAAAAGAGGATTTACGAAACCAAGCAAACGGAGTTGGAGCAGATGTTCCGCAAGAAGAGGATGAAGGCCAGTTGGTGTACGAAAAACAATCCGCAAAGCTTTACACAGAAAACTGTTCACAGAAAGCGTTTCACCTTTTCTCAAGAGCTTGTCAGGTAGTGCTTCTGAAGCTGAGCTTGGAGAAATGATTCAAGCAAATGTCGCCTCTGCTTCTCGTGTTCCACTTGATCCGAATTCAGCAATGGAAGACACTGGTCGCTCAGATCCAGCGACTGCAGACATGTTAAAAGCTTTAAATGGCTGAAATTGCCCTAGGCATGTGTGCAGTTGCGAAGTCAGAATTGTACATTGCATCTTAGCTTGTAACCAAGATCATTGTGTTCCAAGACCAAAGTCAGCCATCAACATGTGTGTTTCACAACTAGCTCAAAAGCATTTGAACCCTTTGCACGGCCGAGCAAATTTGTGCTAAGCCCAAGGGACACCGGCTTTCCAGCGCATCCAAGCTTGCATATGCTCTCGAGAAAGTCAGTTTTGCGGGCAATGGCTCAAGGATTCATTTCTTCAAGCATTTGCATCAGTGAGCTCAGTCCGCAACGATCCACAATGCATGTTTGTCAGTGTCATTTCTGTGCAACAGCTTGTCCTTGAGCTATTGAGTTTGCAGATATGCAGGCGAGGTTCAGAAGTCCAAACATTCAAGGAATGTGTACGTGTAGCAGGTGGCTGAAGTGATCAGAAGCAATTGGAATGCTTGTGTTGCGGCAGGTGTTTGCGATGATGGAGCTAGTGTTGCTTATGACAAATCTGATGCGGCTTGGCCTTGTGATGTACTGTATATATGAAAGCGGTTCGACTGCTTACAGGTGCCCCAAATCTAGAGCTTCTAGCGAACACGGGCAATCTGGGATGGCTATGCGATCCTTCAGCGCCCAATTGTTTCTATCGCTTTGACCCACTCTTGACTGAGTCGGTTCACAGACTCTGGCACATAGTGTTCACACTGCATACCACCTGCTCTCATGCAGCCGAGGTGCTGTTGAGCATGAGTAGTTAAAGGAACAAAGAACCACCAACACACCCAAAACGAAGAACAAGAAAAAGGGGGCCACAACCAAAGGAGAAGAAGAAAGTTTCGAGGCCTAGGAAACTTCCAGTTTATTGTCATAATGTATCAGTGTAGGATGCTGGTTGCTGTGGCTGTGATGTTTGTACATTGTTCTCCAGAGGTTCTTTCGGAGTTCTCTGCGGCGCTTTGCCGATGCCATGGCGTCATCTTGTACGATTCGCCATCGTTGTTGCATCTTGTACCATAGTTGCAGCTGACGCTGTTCATTCTTGGTCAAGGAGCTGCTGAGCTGCGCATCGCTATGCGCCCATCGTACCACCACTCCATTCCTTAGCTGCGCTTGCTTCAGACCCATCAACTCTATGTCCACTCTTCTCTCAGTACCCCGGGTACAAACCACCTCAGTGGACAGTTTGTCGAAAACATTGCCGCTGTCGGCGATCAAACCTCCGGCCACGGTGTTCACTAGATCATTCACTCCCCTCAAATTAGTTCAAATTGCAGTATTTACCCAACATTTCGCCAAATTGAAATCTAGCGATAAACTCGGCATCCCCCGCGTTCCCAGCTGCAGCTGCTTCACTAGCCCCAGGGCTGCGACACACACGTTGAATTTTGGAGGAATGCTGCGTCCGCGGGTCCATAGCAAGCCTTCCGAACTCGAGTAATGGTCTCATGACTCATGAGGCAACCCCATGGCATCTAGGATGTCCGGACAGGGGATGCAATACAAGTTGTCGGGGTATGCACGCGACTGCAAGAGAGCTCCTGTCACCTCTGCTTTGACGCTGCTATGGTCAATTGTATCTGCCGGGTCTCTCGGGTTGTCGTAGTAGGTGACGTGGTGGCTCGACCTTCATATTCTGGGTCCATGTAGCCCAGAAGAACTGCCCGGGCTTTTAACTGCCTTGTGTCCACCGTCTGGCAACAACTTCCAGGTCAGGATCCACCGCATTCGGATAGCGTCGTCGCGACGCACTCGATGTGTGGAAGGCGCTGCTTCAAAGGCCTTTGCGGCAATGAAGTTGCTCACTTCAACTGATTTTGCTTTCCCAAAAATGTTGTCTTCTGGTTCGCTCTGTTTTTGAATGCTGTGGTGATGTATGCTTGCAGGTTCCGAACAGCTTTGTCTGAGGCTCCACGAGTTTGTGGCATATCAATGCTGCTCCTGGGTCTGTCCAGAAACTAGCTCTTGCAAAACCTATCGGAGGTTGTTCATCCGATCTATGTCGACTCCGGGACCTGGTTCTGCCTGTTCCCGGTGTTTCTGGCTCTTCGGGCTCTCGAAAGTCGGCACTTCGACGAAGACGGCTGCTGGCTGCGCCCTCTGGGCAGGCATCTACCTGTGCATGTAGGACAGGAGTTGTCTCACGGTTGGTTGCCACTCATGTTGGGGATCGTTGGCTCTCAACCATTCCTCTTCATATCAGGTTGTTCACTCCAATCTTCATTTCCTCCCAACTCTGCTGCAACTTGTGGAAAAGTCCATGGTTGGGATGTCTCTGAGCGAAGTTCTTCAATGATTTGTTCACGGTCAGATGCACGCCGTAGTTGTTCCCGACAGCACTTCAAGAGTCTTCGACCCCGGACTAACCATATGGAAGAGCCCTCGATCAATTGTCCAACTGCATCTCGCCGTGATTCCGTGGCTAAAATCCGCGCTGGCCCAACAATTAAACTTGCCAGCGGTTGTTGAAACTTGTTTGGCGGTCTCCCGCTGAAAACTTCAAAAGCCTTCTGTGTCGGGAATTGGCTGCCCTCTGAAGGCGTTGGTTGTGGAAAGTCCAAGCAAGCCTTTTCATCAGTCAATCGAAACCGCGCTGTTGTTCGCAATCCTTCATGTTCTGGAGCGGGTGTGGAACCCACATCGAAAAATTTAGCCAGTTTCATTGGGCGCCCGTCCTTTTACATGCTGAAACTCAGAGTATCCTTGAACTACTTCTCAATTGAGCGCGTGAATACTTTCTGAAAGTACGCTTCAAGGCGGTCATCATGGAAAGTCCAAGCGCACCTTGCTCATCAATTCTTTGACGGCCTGGATGCTACGTTCACAAACACCCAACTTCCAATGACCCTCTCCAGAAATGTCCAACAAAATGTGACGGTGGTCACAAAACTCTGCAAGTGCACGGCTTCGGAAACTGCCGGGGTCCTGAAGAATCAACGATTGGAAGGCCTCCGTTGCCATACGTTCAACACCAAGTTTCAGGGACCTGCCAACACCAGGAGGGAATAGAAGGGACCTTCTTCTCTTGTTGGAGATTCCCGTCCAATCCAAGGTTCGGCTGTCCGAGCCGAGCTGCAAGAGAACCCACGCTCATTGCTCTTGAAGCTGCCGGCATCCAAGGGAGCTGCTTGGCTCTTCCCTGCGGGGGTGCGCCATCTTCAATCTTCAGGTCCTGAACTTCCTCCTTCAGCGGCGATCGCGGAGTGAGCCAGCATCTTGAGGAGTTCCTTCGTTTTCGGGTCAGATTCTGGCTTCTTGCATGATGTGGTCAATAAGGCTTTGATCATGGGGTTGCCGGTCATCAGGTTGTAGCCCTGTGGTGGTTCGGACCAAGCTGCCGCCCTTGCACTGTAGGCTCTGGTTGCGAAGGCTCTGGTCGAGGAGTTGACGGCCTTCCAATAACCAATTGGCAAGCCTCACCAGGCGGGAGTCGTTGTAGCTCACACGTGAAATTGGTAAACTTCGTTGCGGTGAGACTGGAATAATACCTCCCGAACGTCATCATGGCCTTGACCATTTCTGTTCGGTCAGTCCTGCGCGCGCTTGATGAGATGTTCTAGCAGTGTTCAACTCCACCATCATCTGACGGAGTGGAGTCTTGTTCGATCTCGGTCGTCCAGGTTTGGGTGGAGTCTCTCCCAATGGCACCGATGAGGCCTGCCTTCTTCATAGTGGGCGTGATGACTCTCAAGGCAAGGCGGAAACTGGCTGCGACGATGGAGAACCTCTCGAGCTGCCGCAGCTGCCGCGTGTGTGCGTGTTGATTGCGGTGTATGTGGTTGACTGTGGTGATGAACAAGATCGGGATGACAATCGCTATCACGAACTTCATGCTGTTCACATCTCGACTGTTCGCTCACTGCGCTATGATGACGCGCCTCCCTTTCTTTGGCAGAAGACGAATCAGGGAGGAGCCGTCCCTAGACAAGGTCTTTCAAACTCGGCACGGGTGACTTCGCTTCAAAAGAGTTCCCGTACCAGTCCTGAGTGAGTGAGCGGAATGAGCTAGCTCGATTGCTCAAGCTGGATGATGCGTTCCTTGTTCGGGTGACGAAAAGTTGAAACAAAATCACTCTCAAAATCAATCAAAAAGCACCCAAGGAAGTGCCCTGATCCAGAGTGTGGATATTCAGCTCGCTGGGTCGTCCTTCCTTCTGCCTGGATCTTCATCCATGCTGTGGACAGACATTGGTTGCGCGACGAATTTCCAAAGCGGAAGGCCGGCCGCTGCTCGGCGCAGACCCAACCTTGCTCAGCGTCCAACTTTGCAAGCCCACTGGAGCCAGTCTGATTATGATCAGGGCCGAGTCTCGACCGCCCTAACGGACCCCAACGTCCGTGTGGCGCCACCATCTATGACTGCCTTGCCCTGCTCCATTGCCTGACTGGTTAAGATCTTGTTGGCCGCAGGACCATCCGCTGCGACCTGCTCTGCTAGGCAGACGAACGGGGCTTCGCGCTGGTTCGAGTCGCCACACTGAAGCTCTTCGGTTTCTGGGGACAGTCCTCGGCGCGGTGGCTTCCACCACAGCAGTGAATGAAGGCGCTTGCTGCGTTGGCCAGATGGGCCCTCCTGAATCACAAAAGGTGTGGGCTTTGGTCGGTGTGGTGCACCACAGTACTGACGGCTGGGCTTGACAAAATGCTGTTTGGCTCGAGCTTCACGTAAAGTCCGGCGCCCTTTCTCCAGCATGGCTTGGGCCTCCTGCATGGGCCTCCACCTCGGCTTCGTTCATCAAAGCCATGTCCTCATGGTTGATGCCATAAGTGGACAGGGGGCTGAAGTCTGGACTTTCCATGTCTCCAGCAAACGGATCATCATCCAGGTCGTCCACGGTCCACGCGGAAGCTCGGCCACCTTGGTCTCGGCGAAGGTCATCGTCATTCCATTGGTTCCAAAGTTCCTGAGCGACCCGCGCAGAACTGAAACCCTTCAGAGCTGCCAGGATCATATTCTTTTCGCTGGTCTCCAGGTTGGCGTCCTGGAGGAGGAACCATCCTTGCACGAAGTCAGGCAAGAGCTGTGCTCGTGCCTTTGCACCTGTGCGAGTTCGCGTCAGGAATGTTGGGAGAATGAGGCTGCTTCCCATTGCTGCTGGGGCCATTGTGCCCAACAATCTTCTTGGCCCGCTGACGGAGTGTGTTCCCCTGGATCTCCGGCTCTGTGTTCAGGATCGGCCTGATCTGGAGTTGAATCCACTTGTACTTCTTGGGCGTCATGGAACTCGCTGGCTGGTCTCAGGGATGTCCTCAAGTCTGTCTTTAAGTCTGGAAAAAGCCACTGTCGCCGAGGATGCTCGAGCGCGAGGCTCATAGTGCTCCTGAGCTCTTTGCAGGGTCTGTTCAGTTCGACTGTGCAGTTCAGCCTTGCGAGTGATGTAGTCATTCATGGACTCACTCTTCTCGCGACGACCCGGCTCGAAGTACTTGGACACGTATACTCGCTCATCTCCGACAGCTGGGGCAGACCGGGGTGCTTGCGCAGGTGGGTCAGCAAGGTCTGAGCACCTCCATCGTGAGAAACCCAGCCAATGTTCAGCCAGCTCACTATATTACTCAAAAGTGCTTGCTGAACCATTTGATTGGGGATATCCTTCTCGATTTCCCTCGATCACCGCCATGGCGGGGCTACCAACACCTATAGAGCTTGGATCGGAAATCATGGCTCTGCGATCCTTGAGTGCTCACTTGTTTCTATCGCTTTGATCCACTCTTGACAGAGTCGGTTCACGGACTCTGCCACACAGTGTTCACACTGCGTATGATATATTGGAATACTATTCTGAAACAGTGTAGTACATACATATGTTTGAGGGATTTGAAGAGAAACGTTGTTATTTATTGTTGCTGTTTACCCTTTGTCACATTTTATGATTGGTGGAAGTACTTGGAATCTTGACCAGGGAAAACATGTTGCATCTTTTCTGTGGGCAACTTGTCCAAGTTGAAAGGTTGGCAACGGGTCGCAGCTGCTTCATTCCAGAGCTCTCTGGTGCATCCTCGGAGACATTCAAGGACTTCCTGGCATCAGACATACCTGTGTCAGTTTGCTTTCTCTGGTAGTCCAACAGCAAAAACCAAAACCAACCAAAAGAACATTCCGAACAAAAGGTTTGCTTTCATCCTGTAGGCCTTTAGGCTCACAACTTCACAATCGCCACCCATGGTGGCAGCAGCAACGGGTTTGCTGCAAATCCGCCCATTTTTGTTCAGTAAAATATTGTTCAAAGTGAAACCAATGTTTTTCTATGTTTTTCCTGATTTGTTTTGTTGGGTGTTTTTTTGGTTTGTGAGAGCTTTTGAGTTTGTTCCGGCTTAATTAGGCTCACAGTTCCAAGAACAGTCAAGTTAGTCCAATATTGCTTTGAAGATTCCAGGATATTCGAGTTTGTTTAAAAAATGTTTCTCCGTGTTTCTCCTTTCTTTGGCTGTGATTGTGATGCATGGTTTTATCTCAAGACACAGTTTTCCTCCTTTCCTGGTGATGACTATTCGAGCGCCGTTTCTTTTGGTGATGCCACGGTTGGACAATTTATTTCAAGTTCAGCATGGTTAAGAGCACGCAGCATGTAACAAGATTGTTGAGAGATTGAATCTTGCGCACCCAATTGGAATACTTTTTGTGTGATGTTCCAGGATGTTCAACTGTTCCCCAACCATTTTAGGATTGCTTACAAAAGCATCCCAAAGCACTCTAAGAAATCCGCCGAAATCCCTTGGAGGTGCAATAGAGATACGCAAGCAGAAGTGTGAGAGGGTGGGATATTACGTTCGAATAGATAGACAGATAGATAGGTAGGTAGATAGATAGATAGATAATTCGATAATTCGATAGTTAGATAGTTAGAGCCTTTGTTTGCAAGATGTCGCTGTTTTTAAGGTTTGTCCTTTCTCTTGCCAGCAAAGTCATTCTTCTAGACGCTACACGGGAAACCCAGGTGAGCCTTACGAAATGGAGCACAATGACCTTCCAATGATATAAGCCAACTGGTGTCACCACGAGCTTGTTCAGCTCCATGTGGGAACATCATCAAGAAGCACACGACCAGATTTAAGATGAAGAGGTGTTCGGTGTTCAGGACAGAGCGAGCCTGGAAACTCAGCAGATGAAGGGTCTGGTGGGACTCACTCTCAAGGAGAGTCACCTTGGTGGGTGCCCCTTCTTCTCAAACATGCAGGCGCGTGCTCATACTTGCGGCTGTTGTCATGATGGCAGAAGAGCTTTGGGTACCGGGTAAGGGCAAGGGTAAGACAAGGGTCATATCAAAGCTATCAAAAACAAAACAAATCAAAACCCAATAAACACTCTTGGGAAAAGCAACCAACAAAGATCTAATGATATAGGTTAATATGGGACCTAGGAACAACTAGCAACTAAATATGGAAAGTATATTAATATGTCACTTTCACTGCCTTGCAGTGTGAGAGGAGCTCACCGCGCTGTTGTTTTGATATTCCATTGTGCACTGATACTGACGGACTGCGCTTTCAAAGCTTGGGGACAAAGGGCAAAGGTTTTGTAGCACTCAGTCGTTTTTACTGCTATGGTGTCAGTGCAATTATGCTGTGACCAGACCAAACTCTGATGCATTGCAAAATGGATGGCAGGATAAAACTGTCCAATGCAAGGAGAGAGATGCATTCAGATCTCAATCCCAACCACCATTCCATGCAGAATACTGTGAGTCTAGGATTGGGTGTTGAGATGCATTGCATATATATATATACAATCTGTGATTTGTTTGTCCAGTTATAGATCATAATGTCCCTTTTGGTCTCTTCTTGCAGTGGCTTCTTGCTTTTCTGGATTCTTTGTTGTGATTCTATGTTCTTTTTCTGCGATCGTTTGTTATCTTTTGGTTACCTTTGAATCACTTTGGCTTTGGAAATTGCCTTTCCTTTACCTCTCTTTCACCTTAATGTTACCTATATGTGTGTTATTCAAATGGCGGGCTTGGAGAGCTATCTTGGGTAATGGGCTTTCTAAGTTTACAACTATAAAATGGGAAGCATAAAAAACATAAGCCTAATTACCAGGTAGAAGTGCACCCGGATGCATAAAAAGGGTATAAGTTTGGAGGGACGCGCTGCATAGTGTGAAACTGAGTTTTACTTGAAGTGGGATGGCCGCTGTTGACAAGTTGCATATTGCACGGTCGTATGTCGTATATGTAAATTGCTGTAGTGGCAATGCTGCCAGAAAAAAGGACGTGGAACGTTGCGGCAGCTGTCCGACAACAGAGTTGGGAATTTTGATTGCTATATAGGGGAATTCTGTCAGAGGACGTGCACAGAGCTCAATGTGATGCGATCGCTGAGCATGTCTTCATTGAGCAGATGCTTGTTTCATCAAGCCACTTGAAGAGCACAAGATGTTTTCGTTTGGACAAGCTACAATAATTCGAAAAAAGTAGTGTTAAAAAGGAGTGCTGACCAGTTTGGAACTAGTTTCACCAACTTTGACGATTTGATTTGAGTTTCCAGCATCCTTCATCATCTCATGCATGGATTCGGCCCCACAAGGCTCAGCCAGCGCCCAAAAACGCAGCCCCTCTCATGTGGGTGCTTGTGTAGACCGCGCTTGTGAGGCCAGGGTAATTTTTCCTGCTCTTGAAGGTGCTCACACAAATTCCAGATCAGCATATCTTAGCAGTTTCATTTCATGATGTTTGAAGCACCATTGGAGCCAGATCCCTTTGTGAGCGCACAGTTTTGACTTCGCCGCAACTAGAGTCATTGAGGCGTATGACACATGTAACAATCTAGAACACTTCACAAGCAATAGTTGTTGCACTTGCAGAGGGTAGAAGGGAACAGCTGCCGCTGTGCATTTGTGGGTTCAGGGACACTCGAACCACGTACTTAGTTTGTACACTTGCAATTTTCATCACTATATAATATAGAACTCCAGAATATAAGTTCAATATTCAATGCAGTCTTCCACTGTGTTCACACTCGTGGAGACGCACCACCACATTCGGATGTAAGTAATTACATGTGACATGCCAAACTGACAGGCTGTTGGACACATGTTTGTCTAGGTTTGCGAGACTTCGAATCACACAAGCTCGATTCAACACCGCAACCAAAGAATCCATGTGTGAGTTTGCTTGTGGAAACTCAGTCCACTTAGCGTGTTTCATTTGATGTTTCATTTGGCCATTTTGGCCCTAACCTCACGGAACCTGACCACCGAGTGGTGGGCATCGATCGCGACGCCAATGGCTGTCTGAAAAGAGCGTGACCTAGAGAGCCGCTCTTGAGTTGGGAAACTTCGAGTGTTTCTGACCTCCACTTGGACTTCGATCCTTCGTTACCATTGTCCAAGTGACATTGGTAGCGGAGCTACCACGCTCCGGGTAGCTCCCTGCCAACCTCCGCTGACTACATCATAACCACCTTCCAGCCACTACACCTTCCACGGAAACTGCACCCACAACCTTGTCATCTTCTTCGCGCTCAGGAGCACTGCTTATACCAGAGCTCTTTCACACTGACGAGCTCTACTCCACCTCTTGGTGACACTGCCCCACCTCCTGAAGTATGACCTCAGAAAGAAAGCCGAGCTCGACACTCACTCGGCCAGAGATAGTTTCATCCCGCTCTTCGATGGATCCCTGACGGGATACCGTGAGTGGCGGAAGAGAATCAAGATCTACTACAAGAAGATGACCTTGTCAAAACGGCAGGGTGAAGCCATCCTGAACTTGTTGGGAAGCCTCTCCGGTGTCGCATGGAAGCTATGCGAAGACTTCAACCTGGACAAGGCCGAAGACCCAGAAGCGCTCCAGGAGATCTTGAAGATCTTGGATGGCTCCTTCCAATACGACTCCAATGTCGAGATGCTGGCAGATTTCTCTGCCTACTTTGAGCACTTGGCACGAAAGCCCGGTCAGACCCTTTTGAACTACGTGACTACCAAGCCAAATACAAGGTTGGTTCCTCTGACAAAGACCGCCCTGACTCGTGAAGAGAAACAGATGATCATGACCCAGGCCGCCTCTCTAGAGCGAGCCAAGATCCAACAATCCATGTTCGCCATCCTTGGGCAGGACTACAAGGGCGGTGGACATCTCCTCCGAGACCGTTGGAACCGTGCTGCCTCCGGCAAGGCTCGATCCTACTTTGCCGGTGATGACTCTGAAGCAATGGGGTGACAATGCCCCAACCTATGAGGAGGAAGATGATGCATACTACATGGATGATGATGAAAGGTACGATGATACATGGTGGGAGTCCTTTGATGCTGATGCCGCCTACTACCAGGAGGAAACTGATGAACGCGAGCCTGACTTCGACCCCGAGGAGTTCGATGAGGCATACGCCTCATATGTCGATGCTCGCAAGCGCTTCAATGATTTGAAGCTTAGCAGAGGATTTCTCCCGGTGGTGGCCCTCCAGGACTCTGCCCCTTCATCGAGCTCTACCTCTTCGCAAAAGCCTTTGAAAAGGGAAGAAAGGGAAGAGCAAAGGAAAAGGCAACAGTGGCACCTTCCGCTACGATCGCCCTCCTGGCAAGCAACCAGACCTAAGAGGGAGAGCTCGCTCAGCCTTGGCCTAGCTTTTATGCGATGTGGCTCAACTTCACACAAAACAGCTCAATGTACTCAGACGAGCTCTACGCCCAAACCGGCTCCTACGACCAGCGGCAAACGCCAAGCAGTTGAGAGCATGGCCGTGCTGAACGATGAGACCTCCATGATCATGCTTGAAGACGCCTCCGGCCATGAGCGCCCAGACTGCGCTACGCTTGACCCTGGTGCCTCCTCGTTCTTGATGGGATCAGGTCCACTGAGTCGCTATGTCAACCACCTGCGGCAGCTGGGCTATGACACCGACAAGCTCCAGCTACAGCGTTGCCACCGGACATTCCACTTCGGCGGTGATCATCAAAAGATCAGCTCATGGACGGTGAAGGTGCCCGTCTACCTGAACGGTCAACATGGCTTGATTCAAGGGTTCGTCTTGTCAGGCGAGACCCCCATGTTGGTTGGCAGACCTGTGATCCGTGCCCTCGACATGACCATCAGACTTCTCCCAGCAGAAGGTCAAGTTCGGCGATGCTGACTGGCAAGATGCCGTCCTTGGTTGTCATGAAGAATACCTCCTAGACCTCACCTCTACCTTTGACTCAGAGCAGCTGAAGTGGGAACCATCCTTCGATCTGCAGCTCGATGAGACTCTTGGCAACCCTGGCTCGCTGGAGGACTTCTTGGTTGAGGAGCACCTCTACCAAGTCGAAGAGCAGGTGACCATGGAAGACACCACGCCAATGACCTCAAAGCATTGGAAGACATTGGTCACGCAAACGCAGGCTCAGCTGAACTCCATGAACGTTTTGGTTGACCAAGCCCTCAAAGAAGAGCACTACGCACCACGCGTCCTGTGGGAAGTCTACACAGGCCGCGCTCGACTTTCTCAGGTGGCTGAAGCTATCGGCGTGACCGTCAAAACGTTCGGCTTTGAGACAGGATGGAACTTCGCGCTTCAGTTGCATCAGCGCGCCTTCCTGGAACTACAAGACCGAGAAATGCCGGACGAGACCCACGGTCACGCACGCAGAACATCTGAAGCCTTCGAGAATGGCACCACCGAACTCATCTTCAGTTTTGCAAGCGAGTGTGCCTCAAGCAGCTGAACCCACATTGAGCAGCCCACCTACATCATCAATGTCAATCCGGCGCTGTTTGCATGGATGTTGATGAAGTATGGACGCCGGCAAAGAAGGACACCACCATCCTGACTACGAAGCGCTCTGTGGCAGAAACCATGAGCCGTCTATGCCCAGGCGATCACGAGCACTGCCGTCTTGAAGGATACATGAAGGGACATGGCGTCCATCGCACCTCATTCGTGGAAGAGTACCAGCCTGCCTTCTCCTCGACCTTGGCAAAAGCCCTGGCATGCGCAGAAAAGCCTCAAATTTGGGGAAGGCTCGCATTATGCCTGGGCAAGATCGTTGATCTACATGCCGAAGGAATAGCAAAATGCCTTTCGAGTTGTACAGAAGCTCCACAGTGCCCAGGCCCTGGTCGATCTCCTTCAGACCAGAGGCCCTTCCACCGATGTCTTGTCAGTTGCTGAGAACTACCTGCGCAGCTCCTGCCTTCGCTACAAGAAGCCAAACAACCAGCTCCAGCCAACGCACAGAAGGCTGACCATTGACCAGGTCAATCAATCCATCCAGGCTGATGTCTTCTAAATCCGCACCGACAAGAAGAAGTGGCCAATCATGGCAACCTTGGACATTGCAACCAAGAATCAAGTGGCATGTCAGGTGCAGACTGAGCAAACTCAGGACTACATCACGCCCCTCAAGAGACACTGGATTTCACATTTCGGTGTTCCTGAAGAACTGGTGACAGATGAAGGACGTGGCTGGCTTAGCAATGAATTCTTGGACTGGACCGACAGTCATAGCATCAGCCACAAGGTTGCACCTTGGTGAAGCCCACGAAAGACTTGGCCAAGTTGAGCGAAGACACGCAGTGCTACGACAGCCATCGAGGTCTACATGCACGACCTGAAACTGGAAGGCAGAGGTGGCGTTCGTCAAGCCTTGACGTACATCCTTCCTCAAATCAATGCTGAACTGTCGCTGGATTCTCGCCTGCTCAATGGGCGCTTGGCTATCAACCAGCTCAACCTGGGTTACTGCAGTCCAGTTCCTGTTCCCTTCACGAACATGAAGCCTTTGAGAAGCACCTCCACCAACGCAATGTGGCCAAGACTGCCATCCTTCAGGCTGAGACTGATCGCAAGCTGAGACGTGCCTTGTTGAGACGCTACTCAGGCGTCAATCAACGGCTGCTGGCTGGTCAAAGGTGCTTCTATTGGCGAGATGCTCAACAACATGAACTGTGCAAGATCAGATGGCGTGGTCCCTGCTAAGGGCGTCTGTGTTGAGGAGAAAGATGGTAGCCCACATGTCTATTGGCTGGCCCGCAAGACACAGCTTATTCGCGCAGCACCACATCACGTACGACCCGACTGTACCGCCATCGAGGAGACAGCAGTTGAGAACTTGAGAGATGCTGCGGCCACACTTCAATCATTGAAGTCAAGAGGAGTGACGCGGTTCATTTATTTGAATCGAGTCAACAAACCAGACTTGCTCGACGTCGAGGAACACGAAGAGGAGATGTCTCCAGATGAAGGCCCTGAACACAAACGCCGCCGGTACGACGCCACCATCGATGAAGACCTGGAGGACTACACACCTTCAGAGCCTCCAAATGAAGGCAAACTACAAGGGACTCGCGCCGAGGACGAAACTGTACCTGCAGAGCCTGCGGCGCCTCCTGTACTACAAGATCACCTTTTGCCGGCTGTCCCTGAACATCAACGAGAGCCTTCGATCGAGCCAGAGCCTCCAAGCGTGCCTCCAACTCCGATGCACCTTGACCCGGTGACCTCTGAGGCCTACAGGGCGCCATCAATGCGTGAGACATGTGACAACAGCGACTACGACTTGACAGGCGAGAGGCTGTATTCTTTGGTCCTCAACGAGCACGACATCACGAGCAACTGAGTCCTTTTCAGAAGCCTCCCCATGAGACCAGTGAGATGGTCTTCGAGGTCCAAGACA